TTTTGTCCTTTTATTTTGCTAAGAAGAAGTCCTAAGCAAAATATGCTTTTTTTTTTTATAAATAGGACAGAACTCTTGTTAGTCCTGGAAGCGATAAAGTAATTACCCATCCGTTCATTATTCCGCTATTGCATTTGTTGTTTTTATGATTCGTTTCATCTTCGCTGTTTTGGATGATATTTCCAGTTTGATCATTTGTGCCGAAAGCACAGCATCTATGATATAAAGGTATTCTACGTGTACGCATGCCTTAAGCTCAGATATTCTATGCGTGGTCTGATTTTATTTCCTAGCTCCGTATATGGGCCGCATGGCACCGCAATTTCTTTAGATGTGTGATACTTGGAATACTCTTCATTCTCCTCAGTTTTACTGGCAATGAAAGCGTTTTTTTTTTCACACTGTCTCCACCCCATCCTAAGGTCTCTTTTAACGACGATAAGCAGTTAATTATAACTGTTGCAGTTTAACTTTCAATTTCTATTTTAGTTATCGGAAAGTTTCGCTCGCCTCAGCCCTACGCATCAGAATCTATATATACACGCACTATATATTTAAATACGATGAAGTTTTTGGGTGGTTCTGTACGGGTTTTCTACTGACTACATTAAAGGTGGCTTCCATGTTTCTTTGTCTTCGTCACCGAGTGCATCGATGTGCCACAACTCAGCGTGCCAGAAATGATGTTGTGCATGAAAGTGACGGAAGCGATGTATAGAGCCTATCAGACATCGTGTTGAACATCGGTCTTTGATTTTAAGAGGCGTGGAAACCTTGAATTAACCAAGAAAAGACAGATATTTTATCCTAGCCAAGCGACAATACATATAAAGTACAGAACGTTTTAGCTAGTTTCTGTTTGGCGGCGGCAGACCGGACCTTGAACGGTGAATTTACTATAGATTCACCCACTACAGATTGTGTTATGGGTATTATATTTACATGGGTATATGTGGCTATGTTTGTTGCATCCGTCGAATATTCATCTAACTTAATTATATAGAAATTTCGATCGTAGTAACTAATTATCCTCTTAGTACAGCTTGAACAGACATCGCCGGCCCACTGGCGAGGCTCTAGTGAACACGCTGAGTAACTGTTTTTCTTAATTACATTGACGCTTTAATACGATGTTAGATTTGATATCGTATGATTACTCCAGCACAATGATGGTAATATCTATCACCCTGAGCGTAAAACGCAGTACCGTATCATAGAAACGTGGTTATTTATGAAATCTTCAAGTAATGCACCATAATTTTACGTTTACATCACACTGGATGATGTCAGAGTAGGCTGTTGGTGGCTCTTGTATGTTCACAAGTGCAGAGATAGATGACAAAAAATAGCTTTTTGACCTGCGAGCTCGAAAACCTGGCAAAGCTACAAAGCTATAAGGACCGGTGTCTTTCATAGAACTTTACAAGCGGATGTAAGGACCTCATTTAAGTTCTATTCGCGTCAACAACGGAACGCTTTTCCACTTCATTGTAAAAACATAATTTGCTTGAACAGTGCAGATATAACACCTAAAACATAAATAGGCCTATTCATTATCGATGCATCAACCTTGTTTAAATTTTTGCGCCACAACTGAATTGTAGACTCAGACCAGACATAGTTGACCGCAGAAGACGCTCCGCTCCGGCCTTATTATGGAACCAAGTTGGATATTCAATTCATCGCACTTTTATAAAAAGAAACGACTGTTCTAGGATGGGCTCGATGTTTATGACGGTCTCACACACTAAGTAATAGGCATGCCGCATCTTCCAAAAGCTTTTTATGCCTTTTATTTAATTTTACCCGTACACTTAGGCGGTTACCTAAGGAGAATCCCGACGGGGTAAGTTGTCACATCCGAATATCTAAGTTTTTCCACTGATCGCACTCGTTTAACTTGTACAAAACGTAATGTCTACTAAGAATCAGTTAGCTTAGCAGGTGAAGTCTACAAATTATACGATGACTAAACGGATTGAAAAAAATGAAGGTATTTACGGTATATACTGTGGAGCTCAGGCCTTGTTTGTACTTAACCGAAGCATGTGAAAATGTATTAAACAAGTTTGACTTGGATAATATGTATCTTTATACCATTACAGTGTATCTTATTCCTATAGACTTCTAGACAAACAGGGTTAATAAAAGCTGATGATAAAATATGGTTCCTAAACATAGTTTCCTACGCTTCTGTGTATTTGAAACGTTGACCTTGCTAAAAGGGAAGTTTAGCAGTGAACACACATTTTTTGCAGGGCATCTTTACGATGGCCGTCCTGCTCATGCAATTCAACGTCGCAGGCCATTTTCTTGCAGGATCTTTAGAGAGAGATAAGTTATATAGGATCAAATTATGCAGACATTGCCACTTTACGGACTTGACATTTATATAATATAATATAGTGGATGATCCTCATAGTAGATTCTGATGAAGAGTATCCTGTAAATTTACATAAGCTTTCAAGCTATAGAACTTCGTGGTAATCTACATAGTCGGTATATCTCACCGTCTCTTTTTTGAAAAGCTGAAGCTTGTTAAAGAGCAATACTTGTTTGTTTATTTTGATAATTATCACATCATACAAATTATACACACAAATCCTCTATTATAATCGAGGATTAATTACGAGCAATGAGCATTGCTTAAACTACTGTTGGCTAGCTTTTCACAAAAGCGTTAGCTCAATATCATCGAACAGGTAAACAGCACGAAGAGAAGGATGAATTGGATATAGCACTGATAATTTTTTTACATCTCTCAGGTATTCAGTAGCCGTAGAGTTACAATGCGCTCGTACATACATTTGGCCGTCGGTGACATAACGGTGCCGATTGGTCCATTTTCTATAATCACCATATAAAATCTGCCAACAGGTAAACCATATAGCTGATAGATAACCATTTCTTTCGTAGATACTGTCACACAAGTCGATCATTGGAAGCTTCGCTCATTCGCGAACGCAAAAAATGTGTATAATTAATAGCTATCAAACCGTTTCAGAACTTTTTATATTTAGAAGTATCTAAGTGATAATGAAATGCCGTCTTTATAGTTATACAGGTAGTAAGCAAGAGTTATCTAGGCGCTCTCACCATCAAAACGGTTACTTTCACTACTCATGACTGCTTCGCGCGCTTCCATTGCGCCGTCCGGCACCGAAGCCTATCGAACGATAACAGCATTGATAGTGTGACCCGATGTTACCAGCTACATCGACAATAGATTTGCCGTTCCTGAAGGAAATTAAACGACGACGACTAATCACTCGTTGTAGCTGGCAGAGGTCAAGGTTTAGGTTGAGACCCGTGTGTCTCCGCACGAATCGCGCCCATTGGTCCTTATCGCTAACTAGCCATCTACGCAGCGGTGGATTGAGTTCGCCGCGTTTTTGTCGTAGTTTACCCTATTGAAAACTAACATATGACCGATTAAAGCACTCCCTCGAGGTCCCACTTGAGTCTAGCTAGTCCTGGACGTCGTTCGTGATGGCCGTTGAAACGCGGTAGAACTCGCAAGTGAAGATGAAACAAGATGCTCACTGACTGGCAACGGTGGCCGCTAAATGATCGCCAGACTGAGTCACTATGACCAATATCGTAATCCTTCATCCAAGTCATTGATTAGAAATTCGATGTTATTGTTCTTGCTGTGGTCCAGATTCTTCGAGGACTGGTCCCTTACCGAGACTACAGTGATAATTTGTGTGATAGAATCAGCGAAACGACCAAAATCGTCAAGCGTCTATTGGCTGTCTGTATATTCTTCTCAACAATGTCCAATACACGGCGTATTATGCATCAGGATGTAAACTAAAATGTATAAAATTTCTTCGCTATTTATTTAATTCTAAACTAAAAACTAAGCCTTACACTAAAAAAATCGGTATGACGGCACAAATAAATTCCGCTAATCAGTACGTTAAGTCCTTCCATAGCGATACCAGCGGTTCGTTAGTAGTGTTAGGTAACATACGAGTGCATCATTGGACGTAGGTGGCAAATCAGCTCAGGCGCCCACTATGAGCTTCCCCATATCGTTATGGTGGCTACGATACAATTGGACCATCTATTCCGCGTACCGTGTCCCTAGATGCGATGCATTTTCTAGGGCGCCCGCCGTTCTGAGCGGCGGCAAGTAAATAGCGCCGTCCGGCACTTGATAGAGCCGTCAAAAAAATCCAGCAAGCGAACTATTTGCTTGTTCTAACAGTGAACCACTAGTGATCAAAGCACAAGAAGCACACATGTAGAAAAGCGTAAGGCTATACGCATTCCATAATTCCTTCGGTTAGCTTTCTCAAAGATATCACCAAGGGTATAAAACAATCACGCCATGAGTGGGTTGCTAAGAGATCCGCTAGAAATTAAGAAGGTATCTAAATCAACCTATAAGTAGCAGAAGTTCGTAGCTGATATAATGCTATATTGTCTCTATATGATATATAATCAGCGACTTGCTACAGGAATACACAGAGTGTTTGAGAGAGAGAGAGCACGTTTGAGACAAGGAGCTTACTTTTGTACCTTGCTGTTTTACACTGTTCCGCCATCTCAATCTGTACTTAGTAAAATATATACCTATACTTTTCGATTATTATTATTCTAATCGGGCCTGCGTTCTTGATGAGGGCAAATAGGATTGACATCCACTGGTCCTTAGCCTTAGAAAATTTGAGCTGCTATGATTAAGTTCATATTTAAAAAGGCGAATTATATCGAATTAAGTATGTGGGATACTACCTACTATAAAATTCAGTAACTCAGAGTAACTTTGAGAACGGTCTGTTCTCCAATCTTGTAACGCTCATTTTTTCTCAGACGTTCCCTATACCCGGACGGGTGCAGACGAGTAACTAGACAATTAAAATAGAGACTATATAAATAGTGCTATTGTGATTTACGTAATATAAAGCAGGCCAGCAGCATAATAATATATACATGGAATTACGTTCTCGATAAATGAAAGCAAAAGTCTTCATTTATTATCAAATAGTTTATTTACATTGACAGTGTTGAATTATGTATAAGACTATCATTACCTTGATGTTAGCTACTCCTTTACTGATTCATCCATTCAGCGTTCTCTCCAACCAGGTAGTTTGTTTTATTTAAACCTATCAATGAACGATTTTCCATTTCCATCCACCTCCATTAGCACGGTCTGTATAGGCAAATAACATGGCTAACTGCAATCATGGTATGATCTTGGCATGAAGCGGCTTTTGGATTTCTTTAGGGCTGTCAAGCGACCTTGCTTACATACATCTATAAATATATACATACTATGCAATTTGTGTTTAATGGCACTCGAGTTGTTCGTTAGCAAAGGCCGATATGTCGGTGTGGCAGTTTCCTGTTTGTTACCAGCGTTTCTTAGAAAGGCATCCGCATTTAACTGGACGCTAACGTGTTGAAAGAAAACGAAAGTCAATGGCCACGTACAGAACACGTATGCCCGTAACGACCGAAAAATATTCATCAGAAACACTCGTGATAGACACACGATTTGAGTTGGGAATTGTTTTTGTTCAGTTATTATCATAGTTCAAGTACGTTTTTTTTTATACTGGCAGCTATCACCGGGACTCTTTTAAGGTCATCTCCTTCTCCTTGAAAAGAAAACATTGAATAAAAAGTCATTATCTGGGTGATTATGTCAGCGTTCAGTAAAATCATAGCGCTAACATTCCACGGAGTTCGTCGCAAACCGATCGCTTTCTAAATAAAAAACGCTTTACTAAGATAACAGGCTTGAATCTCTGACTGAAGGGCATTGGGACAATTTTCTAGCGAAGATTGTCCACAGCTTTAGCGGAGCTTGCTGCCGTTTCTTATCCCCACAAATGTGGTACGTGTATAGTTCTAATATCCGATAGGGACGATGAGCTATCTATAATATTCTGTCATTCACTACTGTCATTTCTATCTTAAAGGCTTTTATTGCCTCTCGCTAACTTCTTAATATACATTATAATTAGTGGTATTATTAACTTTACCTGCGAGTAAGCCAACATAATAAATAACGTGCTATACAGAAATCTATGAGCGGTTGTCAACATGCCGCATGTCTACCTATGGTTGAGGCTGTCGAGTAACAGGCATCGTTCACGCACGACCAATTTTCTATACAGTATGTATATTTACAAGTCTGGAGATCCGTAAATATTTCAGTCATCCATTTCTAGAATATGTACATTCAGAGAGAAAGGGCCCTGACAGCAGGACGCTGAGAGAATGGAGCTGGCCCGAAAAACACAACAAAATCGGCCTTATTTTACCAACTTTCGTGCTGCATGAGGCCTAGTAATAGAGAAAAATAAGTTTATTTATTCACACAGGTTGTGTAGTATATGCCGTTGGCGGGACCCGAGGTAGCGACCCTTAGTCGTAGACTTGGCCGTCCAAAGCACCGCGTCAACGTAATAGAGAAAAAGATTCTTAGCAAAACTTGCCTTTCTCCCGATGGCTTATCTTGACTTACCAATCGCCCATACGTTTCACCTCCGTCTTAAACACTAGCCGATTGTTACCCTACAATCATTTACAAACGTCGTCCACGACCGTGCACTGCGTTTGCGTCATTTCTTGATCATTCTAATGTTTTTGTATGCGTACCGCAATTGCTTCGTTCGGTATGATAAATTCATCATAGCGTCGAGAGTTCTGCAATACCAGCTGCGCCTATTGATGGCATTGTGTTTCTCTCGATATAGATAGCGAGTTGAATTAGTAGTCTCCTCCTACTATCTGGCTATTGGTTTTTCTCACATAATTTCTTGTTTACTACATTTAACCCGCAGATTTGCATAATTTCCCTTTCTTCATTTACCTAATACCACTAGTTGTGCTACAGCTGTCATTTAAGCCGAGAGACGCCTCAGGGACGAGGTCAAGGACCTTTTTTTTGCTAAGTGGCGTACAGAGTGATCGACTATATTTAGGGACCATTATATCATCGTCTCTAGAGCTGTTGCTCGCCGTTCCCTGACCCGAGGACAGAACAACGCCAGTGTCCACACTGCCGACAATACTGTTGTTATGCTCTGAACCGTCTGATCCGCCACCGCGAAAAAGGCTATCACTAGTAGTCTGTTGTTCTTCGGGTACACAATTGTAGATTGGCTCCTCGTCCCTACGACGGCCCCCGGTACTCGTGCGACTCCACGAGTGAACTCCCGTTGAGTCATCCTCAGAGACTGAGGTACTATCTGAATGACCCCCACCGCCCGCACTGAATCCGACCGAGTCTAGATTCCGCATCGCCATAGCCTTCGGTCCACTGGTACCAATCTGATGACTGACCCCATGCTGCTGTTGTTGATGATGGGCTCTCGATCTTCCAGAGACTCGTGCACGGCCACTGCTACGACTTGACCTCTGAAATAAGATAGAGGGCGTTTTCTGTTAGTTGTTAGAGTGCTTAAGTTACCTAACATAACTAAAAGAACCACTGACTGTTGACCGTAAACTAGTTCTATAGTTAAAACTTACTCCACTTCTTGTGCTGAAACTGGAAGAGTCTCCGTTGTTGCTCGCATCGCTAAAAGACTTTCGCGCCTGTAGAAGTCCCTCAAGCTCGTGGGGAGACGGAGGATGCACAAGACCATTACTTCCGCCGCAATTCGATCGTATCGACCTAACCGACTGTCTACCTGGCTGGGACTTTCCATGGAGAAGGGACTCCGGCAGGCGCTGGTGGCCGGGATTGACCGGTAGATTAGCAAGAATGGTGGTGGATGCGTACGGTTCGGGAAAGGTCGGAGCATGTCCATGCGGGAAGCCAGCGAAAGCCCCAGCGAATGTGTTTAGCTTCTGCTGTCCGCCCACTTCGGCATATTCGCCCTCCTCTCGTTGGAGATTTAAAGGGGTATACTCACTGCAAAATAGCGAGTAATATTAATAAATTATACTTATACCCTACATAGATATTACAAATAATTGTCAAGCTAGAAGGGTCTACATTAGGCTGAATAACGGAAAACATTAAATGAACATATGAGAAAAATACTTCGCAGGATTATAACCTGGAAAGATAATACACAACATCTTCAAACAACTCTGACTCTCGATAAAAGTAATTAGTCCTACGACAACGATGTATTTCTTGTGCAAATTAAAAAGTAAGTAATAAATTGCTTGTTATTATGAAATAACTAACTATAACTCAGAATAAGACAACGTTCTATGGGGATACGGGCTAGAAAGCTGCATTGTTGATACTGTACAGACGTTGGTTACAAAGTAGAACACTCACGTGCAATATTTAACGCCATCGAGGATGTTCATAACTTTATTTTCGTATAACACCTCTTTCTCTTTCGTGGCATCTACGCAGCTATATACCTGACTCCAATTTTGAGCCCCGACTGGGTTGTTAAGCGAGGCAAAGAGATGACTGCAACACCACACACAACGTAAGGCTCGATTAGCTTGTGTCCATATTTCTTAGATCCTATCCTATATTTTTCAGCTTTTCAAGTCTAGTTACGAACAAACAGTTAGTTCGTCGAAAGCGCCGCAATAATTACTTACTTGGCGTCACCGCCTTTGGAGACGGGTACAGATGAGACAGTGACCGCCTTGAGATCTCGTTGGCGTTTACATAAAAAGAATAAAATGCCCAAACTGATCGTGATCAGAATAAAGCATAGTACCGCCGAAAGCAACAATACTAGCCACGGTTCCTTATCTTTGGCGTCGGCTGCAAGATGCTTCAAGTAGTTCTCATCCGTCGATAGCTCGACAAAGTGACTCGGAGGTCCATCGCCAACCGAAGTAAAGGCAAGTATTTGCAGCCTATACCGCATCTTGTCGATCAGGTTGATGAAGACAAAGTGAGTCTGATTTGTGAGCACATTACGATTGGCCGTCTCCACTTCACCGAGCAATATCAGCTTGTATCCTTGCAGCACTCCGTTCTGCTGATGGGTTAAAGGTGCTTTCCACTGAACCCACACACTGGTCGAGTTAGCGACATTGACCGATATGTCGCGCACGGAACCGGACGGCGCTGAAATATTGATGCATTATATTTAGTAGCGTGTAGCATGCATTTCTACACCTTAAAAAATTGCTAATTCTGGCAACACGTCTTTGTTTGACAGGTCAGACTGTTAACGTGAACAATCAGAGCCCAGCGTTTTATTTTTATACAAATACTAACGAATCAACCAAAAATTGGTTTGCAACTTTTTTTTGCTTCTGAAATAGGATGTAGGTTAAAAAGCGCAGTACGTACCATCTTCAGAAGTTGTTACGGTTTTAATGTTGCTTGGCGGGCCCTTTAGCGTTTTTAGAAACGGAACGAGAAAGATATCGTAGCGAGTAAACTTATTGAGATCCTTCAGAGTAAATCGATTTCTCTTGCCTCCCCAGATGGTAACCATGCTGTACTTGTCTTCGGCGGCAGATATATCTCTGAACCAGATGTAGTACCCCTCAATGTACTCTCGGTCCCCAATGATTGCCCAGTCGAGGTTAACGGCTGTGGAGTTAATTGCCTTGGCACTTCTAATTTTTACCTCGATGCTATTGAGTTCTGCGTGCGACTTGCTCAGCGGCTGTCCTGATTCCGTATATGAAATTGTGCCCCCACCAGTTGTCACCAGTTTGGATATCGGCGAAGTTCTACCAAGTCCATAGTTGTTCCTCGCTCGAACCGTGAACACATACCGAGTCTCGGGTCGGAGTCCGGTGACAGTGTATTTTCTTTCCTGTATTCTATCGGCCGCAATAACCCACCCACTTTGAAGGTCAGGGCTAAACCATTCGATGGAGTATTCTTCGACGCTATCTTCATCATCATCATCATCATCATCATCTGAGCTTGCTTCTTCTGAGTCCTCCCAAGCGAGGCTCACCGAGGTGTCGTCTATGGCCGATATGGTTGGTTTAGTAGGGGCAGACGGCAACCGACTCGGCATCGGAGCGCGAGCAAAGGCCGTCCTGCTTTGACCCACTGAAACAGAGGCAAAACACAATGTTTAGCACCAGATCATGTGACGTTAATAATTAATCGTTCTCACCTTTAAGAGACATTTTTTTTAGCCATCAAGCCGCCCCCAACAACCACGCCTTAACCACTGACGCGGGTAACTGAAAACACGATGTAGCTACTTTATTTTATATGACACTGTTTGCTGTGCACGTAATTCAACAACCATCCCAGATCAACAAAGTTCCCGCTTTTGTTATCTCATCAATTTCACCGTCATTTTCCTCCACTCCGATAGGTGGCGAATGAACGTTTCTGACCATGTTTCTCGCCTGGTCGCATATGAAATACACAGCTTTCGTGCGCTCACGTATCGCGATATTTAACTTAATAACCGCAATCGCAGCAACATTACCCTGACCCTATGATGCTCTACTCAGCAGAGTTCCTGTGAGAAGAACACATCGCAGTGGAGAATTATTTGTTGTTTAAATTAAAAGCCTTCGTTCCAATCATGTCTCATGTAGCCTACTTGGCTAATTTCCTTTTGTAGGACAGCTACGCGTTCCTATCTACGTCCAACAGTTCGTTAGGGACTTTTGGACATAGGAGCCCATAAAGCCGTCCGACAGGAACATTACAATTTGATCAGAGATCTGACCGTTGATTATGCATGACTCGAAAAACGCTATGGTCAGCAGGAAAATCAATGGCGAACATACGGGATATTTATCCAACAGAACAACAAAAATGAACGCCTAATCGGCCAGAGCTTTCTTTCATCTATCCCTATAAGTTTCCAAATTCTGAGAGTAACGCGTCATCCGTTCGTGTTAACTTGAAGTACTGTTAGACAGACTTGACCGATGAATGTACGTTAACTGAAAAAGTTGTGTCAAGTATTTATGTAGGTAATCGCGTTTCCCTCGTCAATTAATCTCTATCAATGCAGACCCTGGACACATATCTACATATATTATATGCAATATGCGCATACAATTTGTCAGTAGCCGATAATGTTTATTACATCACGTTTAGCCTTGCTGGTATGATACTCCTGAAACACATGTATCTGTTCTGAGCCACCTTTCTCTGATCGGATACCTGCTCCTCCAATCATCGCATTGGAATTCCAGTTGTCCATCACAACTACGTAGTTTAAAAGAACCGAAAATAAAGGGCACAAGATTGCGGCGATTATTATATCTACTATTATTACTGCAAAGCGCTATCGGTGTTCGTTCTTCTCAGAATCGGAAGACAGCCCAGCAGATCTTCTACTTTTCACGAGCCGACGGCAGTACAAGCGGCCTTAGTAATAACTACATTGTTGGTTCAACGTCTAACGTTGTTTTGAACAATTATTGAACCACGCCGTGTCACCGAATTCTGCCGTTTCTAATCTATCAGCTTGAACGACGCCTCACGTGCCGAGCGATGTTCCTACATATAATATTTTAATTCGAATGTCGATGCTGGGGCAATGCGTTGGGCGACTACGCGAGTTCAAGATAATTCGAGACAATTACCCGCAGGTCCCTGAAGCGATGTTAACAATACGACCGTATCAATGCTATTCCTGCTACGCTCCTACCAGTGTTATTGCCATCTTCATCATACCATCATGATCGTCGACGCGGCGTTCGTCTCACCCAAGCTGCTCGACTTGATACTGATTAGCATTGACGCTCACTGAGGTAATTTACACAGCGATACTCGACCGCACGATGACCCATGTACGCAGGAATCTGTGCATGACGACGACAGTTCCCCATATTTTGGGTACCCTTCCCTAACCTTCTCCGGTCATCAATCGCCATCACGGTTCCGAGCGCTATGTCCACTATTGGAGTCGCTGGCCATCTCTGCTCAGAATTGCTGTTTCTACAGTGAAGGAATTTTCAGGCCTGATTAAGCATGAAATTACGTAAAATTTTTTCGTCGTGTTCTTTTGCCGGAGGTGCTGGCGTGGCCGGTCTACCTGCGTACTCTGCAGGGATACATATATATATATATTCAACGAAATTTATCGCGGCTGAGGAACTGTAGATTGATCAGCATCGAATCGGACTCGCCGATACAGGCCTGAGACTGTTATCGCTGCTACATTATCAAACGGAAAGCTAACGTTGACGACGAGAACTATGTGTGTTTAATTTCGTCCTCCCGCTCATTGTCTGCGATTGTGTTTCTTCTGCGCGGTTCTCTGTTCACAGCTTGTCCTTGTTCTATTTAGAAATACATTTGACTGGAACGGAATATCCGCCTTTCTCGACATCAGATAGGCCGTAACAATAGCATAAAACAAAAATAGCTTACCGAATTTAAGGTTAACAATAAAAATCGATGCTAACATAAACATTTCAAATAGTACGCCGTAGTTTAGTCCCGTCCTGAATCGGACGGATTGGATGAGTTAGTTGACGGCTGGCAAAAAAATATCGAAGCGACTCACCTTGAAGAACCTTGAGTGAAGCGCTCCGTCTCGTCTCACGGCCGTCACCCCACGCAATGCAAGTGTAAAGTCCACTATCATCGGATACCGGATCTGTCATACGATCAGTACACGAGAACATAATTGACGGAAATAACCAGCGGCGATGACCCGCGATACGAAGGTCAAAAAAGCACGCGAATAACCACAATGTAATCATTAGTCAACAAGCAATCGAGATCGATCTTAATTCTATGGAGCTATTATGCTATGGATAACAGCTAAATGCTTCTTAGGTGCTATGTGGCGCCCAATCGAAGGGTAGGTGAAGCACCTATTTCTCTCCTCAAAACAAGTTCTAAGATTTTTCGTTAAAGAGATGATCATTAGCCTCTAAATTTAGCTTTAACAAATAGCGAACATACACTCTAAGCAAATAAAAAAAAAAAAACAGATTTCCTTAAAGACCAAAAACGTCTAGCAAGCGTCAAATGGAACAAGTTAAGTCGAAACCCTCCATCAAGTGTCAGCTGCACAAGATATATTGAGAATCTCTCACCCGGGTCCTCTTCAGCATACCTTGAATTGTAAGCGAGGTGTCTTCGACGGTGATTCGATCGTCGTCTTCTTCATCGATTTCCTTCTCATTGAAGAGCCATCGAATATTGGGCGCACTAGAGCCTGCTGATGCTGGCTCAGCCTTGCAGTGCACCGTTACAGATTCACCTTCGGGCACTGTTTGGTTAACAGGTAAAACTGAGATCAATGGTGGAGGAGTGTCCCCTAGAGTGGAGATTTCCAGGTGGGCCCTGGCCGTTATCGAACCCAACGCTGAAAGCGCCGAGCACACATAAAATCCCTCATCTTCTTTTGTGACATCTGTCACCGTTAAAGTGCCTTCAATATCAACAGTGATCCTTCCGTATGTATTATTTGGAAACATTAGCCTTTCCTGCTCGCTGGAATCTTCGCGGCTCCAGAATATGCTGGGTGAGGGACTACCAAAGGCTACACAGTGCAAAACTGCCGTCGAATGCAATGCCACCCGCTGGTCCAGTGGGCGCTGACGGAAAAGTGGGCGTGCTAAAAAATAGAAAAAAACCTTACTACTAAAAACAGCTCATTATAATAACGTGCGTATGAATCTTAGTTTAAAGATGAGTATTTTCGTGTCCAAGTGACGAGTTAGCTACAGTTCTTACATTGAATGCTGACTCGAGCGGATGCTTTGACAGTTCCGACGTTATTTGAAACTTCGCACAAATACTCCCCCTGATCATCGGGACGAAGGTTTATAACTTCGAGTGTTGATGAGACGCCTGATCTGTTACTCAGGACCTTTGTACTCGATGAGAATGTGGAAGCTAACTCTTTCACGTCCTTATCATTGTGGGTCCATCGAATCGTAGGTTGGGGGTCTCCGGTTGCAGAACACTCAAGACGCACAACGTTGCCGTCAGATACGGTTGTGTCCTCTGGTCGCTGTACGATTACTGGTTTACCTAAAGAAAGATATCGTTTGGAACAGAAAACAACGACAGGCAGACATGCGATGAAATTACTACATCTAAACTTATGCGAAGAAGATGATGCCAAAAGCTAGATGAAGTAACAGCACTTAGTTTTGTCATAGGTTAGAAACAATGTGCCTCTATCAAATTTGGAATTTATTTTCAGCAAACGAGATTCGTTTCATAAGTTTCATTTTTGAGTCAGTATCTGGGCGTGTAAGTCTCTGCCTTAAAGGGTCCAGACAGCTATAGCAAGACAAAGGAAATGCCCTCTACCTCGTTTGCCCTCAGGCTAAGGCAACCTGACTGTTTTCAAAATAATCGTCATTAACCATAGCATCAGGTACCTGAACCGCTGTGACTGTCATATCGTCGTCCAGGAGTTATATTTGAATAAGGTGGCCCGCAATTGAGTCTCGGAAGTCTAATCGAACTAGACAGAGCTATTCACTCTTGACTATACAGCTGCACAGGGACTGCACCGAAACTGAGTTAGAATAAGATTCGGACCGAAAGAAAAGCAGTGCTCAGTAGAGGCAACACGTGAGTGTAAGGAAGGGGACAACAAGCCTTTCATTGTCCTTGTCCTTGTCCGCAGCGACAAACAGCAAAGCAGAAAGAGATCGCTTAGCGACCGTCTCCGGTTTACTATCGCTAGCCGGTAGGACATTTCCTGCGAACAAAGGAACGAGATGCAGTCTGCGTATATCCAACACTATTTATGGGTTACGCTCAAAGATAGGTCTAGCTAAGCAAAGCGTAAGTATGACTTAGGTCGAAAACTCTTGTTTTCGCACATGGCAAGCCTTCTCTCCCAAAGTGCGAAATCGAGAGAATCCCTTCATCTTTCTAGAGCCACATAGAGAAGCACGCACGTATACCCAAGAATTTTGCATGCCGCCTAAATGAGAGCTAGTGTAGGTAGGTATGTAGGCAGCCAGTAGACGAGTGCTGCGCCAGCAGCTTTACAAGGTAAAGCTGCTGGCGCAGGCTGTAAGGTAGGATGTATGAGCGTCAGCTTAGTTCACAACAACAACAAATGATCTGACTAACCGATAGCATTTCGTTGGTTAATCTAGTGCGGTTTGGACTTGGCTATATAGCTGTGGTTAAGCAAAACGATGGTGAACTACAGGCGGAAGGTCTCGCCACGGCCGCATAACAGTGCCTACGTCGATATCGAGTCGGCTGCATTCCCATTTGGTCGGTCTGTCAGTGCCTGCAAAATGTACTTTTACATTTTTTGCCGGACGGGCTCAGCTGCTATTAACGATGCGGATGACCAATTGCTCGGCTCTGGCCGCCTTTGATTCGTCGGCCGTCACTAGGGCGCATAGTAGAACATGCAGCTCCCTCTGATCAACTGTGTTTTGATCACCGCCAACAGTTGATCGTCGGTGGCTCATTCTTTTCACCTTGGTGCCTCAGGCCGGTCCTGGTTTTTGCCTGTAGACCGGCTGAAATCCCCAATATTTTCGGTTGGATGCAACGAATGAAGAGACAAAAGCTCGTTCACCCAGAAAGAGGCTCAGTCTTTAGACGGCTTGTTTCGGCACTGGTTAGGAGGTTGGGAAATGAAACAGGATAACGTGGTGGTCGGTGTGAAAGGCAGAGAAAACCGTGGCAGCTTCTCAGGACTGCTGTTATTGTCTTGTCCTCGTCAGACTGCTGGTAGCTGCAGGCTACTCATCGGCGTGATTTGGGTCGGTGAATGAGACCACTGCCCAATTATCATCACAGATAAAACATTCATGGACCATACATAGATATTGTGTTTATCAAATCTATTATTAATGTGTATAATTAACATTTTATAGTTTATAGCACGCAATTGACATTTAAAAGGTAACAATTTCTAATGAAAATTTTTTAGTTCTATTTGTACAGCGCGTTAATTTGTCTTTGATAAAAGTATTAGAAAAAAAACAAATTTGACTCCAGTGTATAATCAAATGCAGTATGGATCCTGTAGTCTGCTTTCGACTTTCATAGAAACCGTAATAATAGGTGATATGCGTTCAAAAGACCAGCTTTTTGTTAACGCTATAGTTCTATATCAGCTAAGGCGAATTTCAGGTTTCCAGGTTTCCATTTCAGGTTCACAATACGGGAACTACAGCAGTCGTCTTTGTTAGTTGAATAGCATGAAAATGGATGAACACGTTAGCTAAGCGTGATATCGGTTCAATAGAAGATTGGTGAAGAATTTCCTTCATAGACAGCATAGTATAATCGGATACGCAAGCCAACAAAGTTGAAATGAGATTGGGTCTAAATAAATTACCTAATATGTACTTAACGGCGACAGATGCAACTGTTAAATATCGACGGAGTATAATTTACGACACTGCTCGTGTAAAACACCACTCTGGCTCCCCTACAGCTTAGATCCTGTTTCCACGTTTACCTTATGGCATCTCTGAGCAGCCTTATATTATAAATAACTGCACATATTGCCGATATCGCGTGTCGCCAGGTAATCTGAGTTTACTTTGACATTTCTATCTGTAGAGGACTGTATTATCCTGCTGAAAGGAGTGGCAAACAGCGTTACATCGACTTCTACACCGACCGACCGACCCAAAATCCGGATTCGAATGGCAGCAGAAAAATAAGGACTGTCTTTAACTGGCTGTCAACTCCCTTCGATTTGAGAAAGAAGGAGAATGTCAGTCTGAAGGAGTTTAAGAGCGGAAGGATGCACGGCCTACTCAACCGAACAGAGGACCCCCTTGTCAATGCTCAGGCGAATGGTGGTTATTGCACAAGAAGCGGCTCCATCTTGACAGATCGGGCCCGTACGCACTGATGGCTCTGTCGAGCACTGCAGCATCGACTTAGCCAGAATAGAAGGTAAGAAATAGTGTCAAGGAACGAGCGTCAGGCGGGCGCTTCTACGTAGCTTCTCGTCTCTTTGGGCCCATATATTTATTAGGAGGCGAGAGTCGCCCATAACGAGATAGCAGCGTTTATGAACGTGACGATGACTAGATTAATAACAAAAATAACATAGCTATACCAAAAACATCGATGAACTACGTTATGTCAATGCCCTTGGCAGAAATCGTTTCTCTATATGTTTGTCAGAGAACGCCGGAGGACGCATATCGATATGTTCGGGAGTAGGAATAAATGAGCTCATACGAGTTTTGCTTTCCTTAATTGCATATAACAAACACAATCAACAGTGTCTTAGCAAATTTCAATGTGAAAACCAGTTTGTGACAAACTTCAAAGTTACAAGTAGGAACATAACGTGATCTCGTTTCAGAACTTCGTCTAACAGTTTATATTGTGAACGGCAATCGAAACTGCTAGAGGGAAATGTGTCACCCAAGATATGTAACTATTTCAAGTGTTCAATATGAAAAAACAAGTTGAGTAATTCAATGCTGGCAAACATCGAATAAAGAAGGCGATCACCAGGAAGCCGAATTAACCAAGGGGGGCGACATGGGCAAATACATGTATAGTAATAGACAAATACTCTTATTTGTCAAGTTGTGCGTGGCTTAGCAACAGCACTAATCACTAACCACGCGTTCATGATTTCGAGCGTGTATATAGATATATACATGTATATATATATGAACATGCCTAAAAGCCCTTTAGGTTTGCCAATCGCATCGATTTCTTTGATCGATTCATCACTCCGTCTGCCCGTGTGCGTATCGCTGTTGGAAAAACATGTGACGTTGCACCGACAAATACGATACAATCATCCGTCAATTGCTCAACGTTCAACGCCGCGTTTTCCGCTGCTGGGCTTTCTAACTCAAATGAGTGCTATCTATCGAAACTTACAAAGGTGGCGTGATTCCACAGCCCTTCATTTCGAGTGCTTACTGAATAGTTCAACTTAGTCCCCTTCGAAGATGACTACGATTGATGGCGTCCTGAAGAGCTCACAGGTTTGCTATCATCGACGGAGCAATAAAGAGCAGCGCCTGTCTGTAGGTCGGCGCAGTCCTTTTAACGCTGCTTCGTGATGCGTGCTCGCTACGTGCTGTACAAAGATCCCAGTATTGTTTCTAAACGATGTCTCAAGCACGTCAAATGATTATCATCGCGACCGGAACATGCGAAACATTGGCAGATCCTCTCAGCAACAGCATCTGCGTTGTTGCTTTTTAATATGGCTATACACCATGCCAGTATAGAGTTATCTTCATCCGAGTCAGTTTCTGTCAACTGGCCGTATTCAGCAGTGGCATGGAACATCGCAGAGACTCCTACATGCAGAGAATTATAGCAAACCCATCAGATTGACGCCCATGAGTCTAAGTCGTACTGTCTTAAATCAAGTCTCAAGAATGGGGCGGAGCGACGGACGAAGCGTCCGAAAACGTCAAAGAAAGAGCAGACAGACAGGCAGAAGTGATGAGATCGAAGACCAAACAAAGACCGGGAGATAAATAGAGAAATTAATCTATAACGTGTGTATCGTTAAAGAACGCTAGCGGTTCTTCCACCATCGGATCAAGCTGTCTGAAGTGTTAGGTGAAACATGGCCACGTATTAGTGCCAAAAGAGCATATTAAGGTCAGAGAAAGCAACCGGCCTTATTCAGTGTAGTGAGTCCTACTACTTCGAAGTGCTAAACAAAAGCAGTAGCATAGGCCTTGCGAAAGTAGCGCGGGCACACTGGCATAGACTGAAGTCGGTGCAGGGTAAATGCTTGTTATTTGAAATTGGTTTTTCGTCGGTGTGGTTACTTTTTTCGCCTGCGATGGTGGTGATGGCTAGTGCTAATGCTTTGCTTCTAAGTAACTCGTACGCACCGGATCGATGCATCAGCAGCCTCATACATCAAGTTAAGGGGCCCTCTCCAGTCTATATTAACCAAGGGATACACGAACAATAGGGCAGGGAAGCAGCCTTTTTGCTAAGCAATATGTCAGGACGCATTGTTTGCCGAGCGGGACCCTTTTACTAGATCGCATGATGATACTTCTGCCGCCGATAGCTCGATTTGATGAGACGTGGCATTT